TGTTTTTCCCTTTCCTCCGCTGTTTTGGACCTAAACCATGCAATCTCTGCTGGTTGCATGCGTCTTATGCTTCCTCTCTTGCATTTCCTGTCCGATTATAGCTCTAAGAGCTGTTCTTGATCACCAAGTGGTGGTATGTAAGGTGCTGTCTAGGTTTCTCACAACTCAAGGTATTATTTAGGCGAGTCTTTGAGCTGGGCTGTGAAGTTTTGAAGTAAGGGAAGCTAGAATACTTCTTTAAATTTGTGGTATGATATGTATGTATGCTGAAATTTGAATTGGTGTGTTGTTTTAGAGTGGTATTTGAGGTCTAAATTTTATGGTGTGGTTTGTGCTGAAACTGAAATCTATGAAACTGTGTTGTGATGTTTGGAATTGATTTGGATGAATTTAAATTACTATAATTGATCAAATTGGAAGTGTTTGAAGTGTGAAATTTGTTATAACTTTGGTTAGATAGAAAATTTGGAGTTTTGGATAGTGTTTTAGGTTATTATAAAGGAAGTGAGGTAGTGATTTTGAGAAGTAGAGGTCAGGGACTATCGTGGTCTATTGGGGAAATATTAGCAAGTGTATTCTGACTTATTTGAGTCACCAAAGTGGTTCAAATAGGTGCAAAGTGTTAGAATTGGGTTTGCGGTCCTCAAGTTGTGGAAATTGATGTTGAGGAAAAAAAATTGAGTTGTAATCAAGTTAGAATTATAGTAGGAAGATTTAGGAACAACTAGACAAGTTTAATTAGGTGTAAAACATGAATTAGAGGTGTTACAAATTGGAGATAAGGTCTAGAAATGGTAAGGGGGTGTTTGAGTGCATAATTATGCAGAATTTGCGTTCTGCAGATTATGCAGACTAGCTATGTGAATGGTAAGAGGGTGTTCTCTGTTTGAGTCATTCGTTATGCGAGCTGGTGCGTTATGTGAATGACTGGAGGGTGCTACTCTCTGTTTGGTGATTCGCATAGCGAATCTGGGCGCTGTGCGAATGGTGGTTGCCTGGGAAAATGCTAGTTTAATTCGTATAGCGAATTTGGGACATTATGTGAGGGTTTAGGGTCTGATAATGTGTAGCAGAATTTTCAGTTTAGCTAAACGCACAAACTTGGTGCGCTGAGCGAATGGACTTTAGGTGAACGCACAAGCTTGGTGCGCTGAGTGAATGTGAGTGAGTAAGATCCATTGTTTCTGTTATTCACACAACGAGTTTGGTGCGTTGAGCGGCTTGCCCAGAACCTGTTTTTATTCTTTTTATTCCTGTTTTCTGATAAACTTGAACTATGTTTTGATTATTAGAATGGTGTAAAAGTATCTATGATAATGTATGATCAGTGAGGTTATATGTTTGGATTCAATGTGATAGTATTATGGTATTTGGTTGTTCATGTTTTGAGTTAAGTTTCAAAGTGACAGTATGTTTGATGGACGTAATTCCATGGATCTCAAAGGGAGGTTACATGGTGGTGCCCTATGTTATGGATGTAATTCCATGAACCTCACAGGGAGGTTACATGGTGGTGCCTTATGTATTGATTCAAAGTGCAATCTCTTGTTGAGATTCAAGTATGTTTAGAATGAATGCAGGAGCTCAGTCTTGGGGGTTATCCTGAAACTCCAATGGTCTTTCTTCTCACATAGGGAGGATTGATCCATGTCGTTAGGAGTTGCAGGAAGCCTTAGTCTTGGAGGCTTCTAGTATGCTCCAAGGCGTGGTACAGACTAACCTAGTGAGTGTGGTAAGGTGAAACCCATTGACAATGGCTTTGCAAAGCAATAGAAGCCACCACGAGTGCACGACCTGCCATAGCTCGACAATCATTCTAAGTTCGGACGAGTCAAGTTTAAAGTATAACATGTTATGATGTGTGATCCAGTTTGCTTGAATTAAACATGAATGTTGTGTGTTATTGTAATAGTATGATCTTTGTATATTTATCTCACCCTTGCTTCTGTGTTTGTCTATCTGTGTATTGTTTTCTCTTTTGCGATGATCAGCTTAATGGTGTGAGCTTAGGAATGCAATCTTTTCAGTTGGCTAAACGGGAAGTTAGATTAGAAGTTTGAAGTGTAGGTTGTGCTTTTGGTCCTTTAGGTGAACAATTTTATTCTTCGCAAATCTATAATTTATTGTATTATTATCTATGTAATGTTCATTTTAGTAGTTTCATATTACTAAATTGGGATGTTACAACTTATAAACTTAGTATTTATAATTACTTTTTTATATTTATAAGTACATATTTTAAGAAACATTTAGCTTTTTTAATATATGTAACAAATGCATAATGGAAAATATTTAACATTTTTATAAACCATTTACACAATTTTACAAATCTTAAATTACTACAAAAATATTTAAAAAAGTATTTTTTAAATATCAATAAAAGCAAGATGACTTATACGATAACATAACCGAATTTTGAGAATTAATTCGAAATTGAGAAATTTAAATTATTGAATTTATAAATTCATGCTAGTAAGAATGACCAGCGGAGGACGACGACACATTTATCTTCTAAAGAAAAAATCATGCACATTTGTATTTATAGATATAATTTTTTTCCTTATCTTTATTTTTATCGGGTACTGAGTATACTTACACTTTTATTGAATATCAATTAATTAATTTTTATAAAAGAAAAAATATCATAATAAAGGAAATTAGATATTATATTTTATATATAAAAAACTTATAATTTTTCAATATCAAATACTTAGAAAAAAATTATAATTATATATATTTTAAATTATAGAAAATGACACAAAATTTCATGACAATTTTATTAAATTATGCTCATTTTAAATTATAACAATAAAAAGATTTATTAAATTTATAAATACTAATGAAATAAAGTTGATAAAAGCAAAAGATATTTTAAAAAATTATAAAAAAAATACTCAATTTTAAAAGTATTTTAAATGTCTTTTTATATTCCTTTTTCTAAATTAGAATGAAATCTCTTTTCTTATGTAACAAAAATTATAATAAATCATTGAATGAAATCACTCAAATAAAAAATATTAAACTAATAATAAGTAAAATTTAACATAGATTTTTCATTTTTTAACTTTAATCTAAATTTTAATGGTGATAACCAAAATTGATGACAATGTTATTAAGTTATTATATTATAAAAAATGTCTTTATACAATTCCAATGATAAAATTACATTTACATAATGCGTTTGCAAATAAAATAATTATATAAAAATCATTAAATCAGTATTTTACATATTAGAAACAAACAACAAATAAAAATATTAAAAAATAAAAAATGATCAAAATGTGTGATTTATATAAACAATTTGATACATTATTAAACAAAATCGTACAATGTACAATTAAGGATATGATAAGATAGAAAATATTTTAGAGATTAAAGAAAACTTTTGATGAAAATTGTTTTAGTAAATAAAACAAAGAAGATACGTTTTTTATCAATTAAATAAAACAAAGAAGATAAGTTTTTTTAGTATTAGATGAGAGTCAAATATTCTCATGTGAAAAAAATAAATAAATAAACATATTAAAATAGGTAATATTCAAATGTGAGATACACAAATTATTCAGTTTATTGTAATTTATAATACACCATTTGAATATAATCATACTCAGATTCTAATATTAGATACATGTAAATGGATTTCACTCATATAAAATAAGTCAAACCAATATAATAGAGAAGAAAAAAGGTATAGCAAGAGATTTCTTTTGACGGTTTTGTAAACCTTAAATAATTTCCGACTGCAAATATATTTTTTTATTGTTATTTTTTAATTTTTCGGCGGTTCCGCGAACCGCAACTAAGATATAATTATTTTTCTAAATCACATTTTTGATACAGTTTTTTTACTAATCCACCTAAGTCCCAGCAGTATTTACTAATCCCAGCATAAAAACGTATTTATTGTAGTTAAAATAATCGATAATGAAAAAAAAAATCGCTTTTACATAGCCGAACTTCACCTCTTCACGTTACCTTAAAAGAATGAATAAGTACAATGAACACTTTCCAAAATTGCAGGGTCCAAAATAGTTTTTCCCTATAGTTTTTTAACAGTTTTTATTAGTTTAAATTATTATGTAATAATTTTTTTGTTTACAAAATCAATAAGTTAATTGACTCATAATTTTCCATCAGATTTCATCTTAAACTTTTGTCATTGAAATTAAAGTGTTAAATTTTTGTTAGAATTATGAGGTATTAAATTCTTACCCGAGTGGAGTAATCATATTTCACTATTAATGAGATAAAACGAGATAAAAAAAATAAAATTCACTGTACTAAGAATTCAACAAATTTAAGATGAGATTTAATATCATATTGATGTGTAGAAAAATAATTTTTCCAAAATCCAATCAAATCATTTAAGATTCAATACAGAATTAATTTTTAATTAATCATTTAAATTGAATCTCAATTAAATAAGAACTAAAAATTACTTTTTAAATTTAAAATACAATCACTATCAATTATTCAAGATACAAATACAAAACAGGAAACAAATAACTGCATTTTATTTTTCTTTATTTATTGACATTTATTATAATTTTGTTGGTAATCTTGACATTGTGAGCAAGTACAAAATGACTCATGAAGCATACCACATTATTCTCCTTAGTCAACATGAATCTCTCTCATTTTGAGCAACATTGTTTTATGCACCACTTTAGGAGCCTTAACTATGTATTATAACTTTTTTTATTACATAAGACAATAGATTTTCAAAAGCAAAACCCTCATTAACCATAATGAAGTTCTGCAAGTAGGAACACCTGCAGCAAAGCCATTTGATTTACTCGTTTGCACGTACAGAATATATAAATAATGTGAAGACAAGACAATAAATGACTTACCACTTTTTCTACCTATTGACATACAAGGCCAGTGAAAAACATCAAACAAACCAAAATAATTGATCTGAAACATAATCATTAAAGGATCGACAACAAACACATAAGTAAGTGTTTTCAAGGTAATAACAAGCCTAGGTTTGACCAAAACTAGAGATTAGGATCACCAAATGGAGGCATTATTGTCTCATCTCTATTACCATTAAACAAGTTCATAAACAACAACCTTTGGATGGGATTGACATCCATATCCAACCCATGTCCAGAACTCATAAGTGCCATTTGCAAATGCGGTTGGTACGATGTTGTTTTCAACTGCGATTGGAATACTGATGTTTGCATCTCGGGTTGTTGAGTCGGTTGTATCTGATTAACATTCAGAGTTTGCAACCTTTTATCAATGTCTTTAAGGTTTTGTTCAATCACTGATGAAAGGACATTCAAATCAGCCAAGGTCATGTTATTTTCATCTGGCAAAACCCTACCTTCAGTAAGGCATTGAAACATGAACAAGGTGAACTCCTTCTCCGCATTCTCCTTCCTAAGTTTCATTATTTGTTGGTTACCCTTTTGGATCCTTTGTCCTATGAAGCTCTCCTGGTTCACCATCTTCTTGATTTTCTCCACTGCAGGCATGTTCCTGAACCTTCCCACCACCTTTTGGACCTCACAATGGGATGGCCAAACCTCTGGTTCATGATCATCGGGACCATAAACTATAGCACATGCATCAATTCCACAAAGGGTGCTGAGTTCCTCGATCTTCTTCAGCATTCCCTTTTTCCTTTTCTTGTATGTTGTCTTCCTTGCAGAATCGTTTTCTATGAATGCAAGTTTCACCTTTCTCTTGGTCATGATGGTGACCAGAAAAAGGGAAACATAAACCAGTTGAAAAGAGTTGCTTGTTGTAGATTTTCTACCAACAATGTCCTTATATAGACCAATTTTATTTACATACATGGTTTTGTTTTGCAGTAATCCTTGTTGCGTTTGAGTGAAAGTTCCAACTGGTTTAGCACTTTTCAATCTCACTTTCAATGTCATTCCATATATGAAGGATATGAAAAATCTGGGACTTTAATGATATTTAATATGGAAGAAAAAAATGAGTAAATTCAATTACTTAGTTTTGGTGTGTACATAGCCTTTTATAAGCATGAAAAAAAAGAAAAATTAAATAAATGTGTTCATATAATAACATTAATTAATAAGTAATATTATCTTATATTTTAGTTTGTTTGAAATCTGATTTTTTACATATTTGAGTTGGTATAAAAGGGAGATATATGTCAAAAAATCTCATTCTCATAATTGAATTTCATGGATTCATAGATTTAAAAATTTATCAGCATTTTTAAACGTTGGTATCATGTGAGATTCTTCATATAATATATTTATAATGATTTGTGTTAAGGAAATCTAACTCAATCTCACAAATTCTTATAAAGTGAAGTTTATATCCAGTTATATATTCTAAATTCTCAATTATCTTTAATTAATGTGGAATTTTCAATACACTCTCATCACGCTGAAGTATATATACTCATGCGTAGATAATTTTAAGTCTAACTCAATCCCATAAAACTTGTTTATAAGATGAGGTTTATATATTTTAAATTGAAATATGAATATATCATTAATGTTTCACATTACGATGACTTATAATTTTAGATCTCTATACTACTATTCAACCTGGCTTATCATATTTTGAAAATGGAATATTTTTAACACTGGAGAAAATTATTTAAACAAAAGTCTAAAAATTTATTTTAGAAAATTAATTCAAATATTGAAAAATCATAAATTCAATCTATAATACTCAGTTTATTTTCATTAATATTAATGAAAAATTACTTTTCAAAATTCAAAGTTCTAAATTGAAATAAACATCTATGCTGAAATTAGTAATAAACATCTATGCTGAAAATTAGTAATATTCATTAATATTACATGATTTTAGAGAATTTTGTCACAACTTATTCTTTTTTTGCATTTTGGTTTTATTTTCAACTTTGCAATTTTTGTTATTAGAAAGTGAGTTTTAATCCTAACTTATCGGCCTTATCTTTAGTCGATGTGGAACTTCCAACACACCTCCTTCACGTCGAGGTATAGACATCTCCTGCATGATAATAGAAATTGGGTGATTCGATAATGGCCCGATAACGGATGGAATAGAATAATAGAATGTCCACATATAACTCGTTAGGATAGACTCTAACCATGACTCTGATACCATATTAGAAAGTGAGTTTTAAGCTTAACTTAATACCACAAAATCGACTTATAAGGTGATGTTTGCACTCATTTATATACATATTATAAATTTGCCTTATCTCTAGTCGATGTAGGACTTCCAACATTTGTCACCTTTTTAACTACTTGAACATTCTTATTCATGACTAAGCATTCATTACAAATGTGGTATTATATTGCTTACAAGTTATTCTGACAACAATTACTAACGTTAATTGACACGAGCAATTAGACGCACGAAAATTTAAAATAATGTTAAAAATTTCGATTTTGTTCCTTGCTTCAAGAAGTGAAAAAATGGATAAATGATAAAGTAATATTTTATTTTAGAAATGCGATTCTTTGATTCATGGATAAAAAAATAAAATTTCATTCTTAAGAAGAAAAGGTTATTAGAAATTTATTTTCAATGTGATAAATAGTACCAAAACGAATTGTTCATAACCAAAAATGGATTTGCTATTTAGATAACTATAATTTTACTTCCTCTAAAACTAGTAGTTTAACCATTAATAAAAAATAAACATTGATATTTTAATACATGCAGAATTTATTATGCATGTACACATATATAGTATTGATTGCTATAATTTTCTATATGACTACTTAAAATAATGTATAAAGTAACTTGTCCATTATTATAAATTATGTTTTGTTTCTAAATAGAGTGTGAATTGAGTTCTAAAATATATTACTCAAATTAAGTTCAAGTGTTTTTTCTCCACCTTGAGACAAAATGGGTTTAGTTGCACCAGCATAAAATGGAAGTTTATTTGTTAAAACAAAAACTTAAATTATTAAAGACATTAGTGAGAGAAAAGTCATGACGTTAAATAATGATGTTTATATCGTTGACATAGTAAAATAACGTGCACGTGAAAATTATAACTAAAACACAATATGGTCTAATATTTGTTAATAAAATATTTTGTATATTTTAATTCGAGCTTTTCAAATACTGTAACATAAATAAAAGTAAACTTACGAGACAAAGGGATAAATATCTCGACACACAGGTTGATCAATCTTGCAGGTTCTATTATGACTTTTTTTTTAACATTAAGATATGTCAAATATTCTACTTACGGATATTAGATAATCAAATATTGTATTAGCTATAATTTGGATATTATTATAATTTGTGCAGATTTGTGCAACTGTCATTCCTTTAATAAATAAGAATTGTAGGATCTTTGTTGTATATATGGTACTACTCTTTGACATAAAATAATACATCAGAATTATTCTTTAAACCTTTTAATATGGTATTAAGAGTCAAAAACTGATATCCTCTACAATATAGGAATCAATGCTTCTTTTTTTTTCATGGAATATTTCTGATGACTCCTTCCGATAAAAATCAATCGAAAAAACATGATTCTGGAACTTCCGCGGCTTCTAAGAGTTATATTTTTACTACTACCGAATTTGTGACCAAGTTAGGTATATCTAACTTTGCCCTTAATCTTTCTATTGTTACTAAGGATAGTGATTGGATAATTGATTCAATGTTGATCATATGACTTATGATCCTCATACATTTACTAATTTTTCCTCTAATTGTTCTAAAACTTTTATTATTAATGTCAATAGGGTCTCATGTCCTATTGAAGGTATAAGTAATGTATCCCTCTCACCCTCCTTATCGATTCCTGATGTTTTAATTGCCTTGTTTTGCCCAATTTGTCTTTTTCAGAACATCCATTTCAAGGAGAAAATTGTTAGTGGTAGAGAGAGTGAAGGATAGTATTATTTTGAAAATTTCTCACAACAAACTCATAAAAGAGGGTTGGCTTGTCTTGCGAATGATCACATACAAGATAAAAACAAAAAGGAAATTTGGTTATGGCATAAATTGTTGGGACATCCCTCTTTTGGTTGTTTTAAAAAAATATTTCCACCATTATTTCATAAATGCAGTATTTCTGATTTTTTTTGTGAAACTTATGTTATGACAAAAAAAATCATCATGTTGTGTTTCTTTTAAGCAATAACAAAACTGATTTTCCCTTTTCATTAATTCACACATATGTTTGGGGCCCTGCCTCATAATCACATAATAGAAAAAATGGTTTATCAGTTTTGTTGATGATTATATTCAGGTAACCTGAGTATAGTTGCTTAAACATAAAAGTGATGTGTGTGATGTGGTTCGTTTCTTCTATCATCTGATCGTTACACAATTTAACACATCTATTAAGGTCATTCGATCAGACAATGGAGATGAATATTTTAAGACTGAATTAATAGAGTTCATGAACTCTAAAGGCATCTTGCATCAAACTACATGTCCTTATTCACCACAACAAAATAGAGTGGCTGAGAGGAAAAATAGACATATATTAGAGGTAACAAGATCACTTTTGATAGATGGTAATGTCCCATCTCATTTATGGGATGAAGTTGTGAGCTCTGCTGTTTATTTAATTAATCAAACCCCTTATAGTGTGCTTAACTTTCAAAGGCCTTTCGATGTGTTGTCTGATCATTGTATCATTTCTCTCATAGTTTATTTACCACCTCATATTTTTGGATGTGTTATATATGTTTACTTACACCCACAAACGTACAAAGCTTGAAGAGCGAGCGATCAAATGAGTTTTTGTTGGATATGGATCAACTAAAAAATGTTATCATACTTACCATCCACCATAAAAGAAATTTTATATTTCTATAGATGTCACATTTACTGGCATGAATTCTTTTATGTTGATTCTCCACTTGAGGGAGGCAATGAAAGTGAAGTGCATAATCAGGATGTTAGTATGTTTGATATCTCATATATAAAGTTATATTGTGAAGATAAATTATCGTATGAGGATCATTCTGTAGGAAGTGAGCCAATCCTAAATATGGACACTTCTTTTCTAGATAATACAGTGTCTTCTGATCATAACCAATTGGTTCAATCTTCTCCACAGGTTCAGTTTGACTCTTCAGAGGTACCTTCTGATCCTATCTCTGATAATACTAATTTAGATGAAATTGATCATGGAATTGATTCTTGTTTGCGTGAGACCACCAACACATCAAACACTGAGTCTACTATTATTCAATATAATCTTCCACCTCGTTCTAATTATGCTCAACCTCTAGTTAAATATGAACCAAACCTCCAAGCCAAAGTTAAATATCTCATTAGTAAATATGTGTCATCTCAGGTTATCCCAGTCATATGCATCATTTGTATCTCAATTATCTTCAATTTCTATTCCTAGTAATATACATAAAGCTTTGGCAAATCCTAGATGGACCAAAGCAATGGTTGAGGAGATGACAACTTTAGAAAAAAAACAACACTTGGGATCTTGTGTCCTTACCAAGAAGGAAGAAAATTGTGGACTTCAAATGGATATTTACAATTAAGTATAAAGCTTATGGACTATTGAGAGGTATAAAGCACAACTTGTGGCTAAATGTTACACTCAGTCTTATGGTGTAGACTACCAAAAGACGTTTGCACAGGTAGACAAGTTCAACACTGTGAGAATACTTTTGTCGCTAGCTGCAAACCAAGATTGGCCTCTTCTACA